CATGTGTAGCAACATGGATGGACCTTGAGGGTGTTATACTGAGCAAAATAAGTCAGGCAGAGAAGGACAAATATCACATGTTTGCACGTATAGGAGGATTAGGAGGAACTTAACTGAGGACCATGGGGGAGAAGAAGGGGGGAAATGGTGGGGGAAAGGGAGAGAGGCAAACCATGAGAGACTCTTGAATGCTGAGAAACAAACTGAGGACTGATGGATGTGGGGGGGAGGGGGGGGATAGGCATGGAGGAGGGCACTTGTGGGGATGAGCACTGGGTGTTATATGGAAACCAATTTGACACTAAACTATTTGTAAAATAAAAAAAAATTAGTAGTGTAACTGACAGAAAACTGAAGGATGAAGAAGTAAAAAGTAGGTACTCAAGTTATCTACATCAGCTGATGTATCTAGCTTAAAGATGACAGAGCAGGTCTAAATCAATTATTTAATGTTATAAATGTGGCCATGATGACATCTGTAAATTATGACTAATGCACATCTTGAACTGGTGGGGAAAAAAAGAAGGCTTATGAAGAAACTTAAATTTTATTTTTTAAGAAAAAATCTGATAGAGGAAATGGAAAAAAGAAATGTAAAAGTGGTTATATTTATTTACTTTAAGCTTTACTCTATATTTGATGATTTTCTTCCAAGTGAAGATATTGTTTTAGAAAAAAAGATACTTTATGCATAGAAAAGGGGAGAAATACTATAATACTGCTGGTTGAACATTTTAAGAATGATTTCCTTTTCTCCTTAGGTATTAATTTCTCTCCCCAATTTTCTATACATATTACTTTTATGACCTAAAGATCTATAAAATAAATTTCATGCTTAAATACATGGTAGCATCTGGTGTAAAACAATGTGTTTATTTTTTTTTCTCATTAAACTTTTCTTTTAATGGGCCTCAAAATTCTGTGACAGATTTTTGGTCAAGTTGTTTCCATTAAAAAGTACTTATTTTAAAAACTAATAACTTAAAACTGCCACACACAAAAACAAATGGTCCACAAAACATTCTCCTTTCCTTCTGAAGGTTTTTTGATGCATTGTTATCATTAACCATTCTTTTACTATTAAACTTAAATGTCCAATTGACACAAACAGTTCTGAGACTGTTTTTCCACCACTGATTAAGACTGGGGTGGCAGGTATTGGGGATAATATTCATTTAGCCTTCTGAGCTTTCTGGGAAGACTTGGTGACCTTGCCAGCTCCAGCTGCCTTCTTGTCCACTGCTTTGATGACACCCACAGCAACCGTCTGTCTCATGTCACGAACAGCAAAGTGGCCCAGAGGAGGATAGTCAGAGAAGCTTTCAACACACATGGGCTTGCCAGGAACCATATCAACGATGGCAGCATCACCAGATTTCAAGAACTTGGGACCATCTTCCAGCTTCTTTCCAGAACGACGGTCAATCTTCTCCTTCAGCTCAGCAAACTTGCAGGCGATGTGAGCTGTGTGACAGTCCAGCACAGGTGCATAGCCGGCACTGATTTGGCCTGGATGGTTCAGGATAATCACCTGAGCTGTGAAGCCAGCTGCTTCCATTGGTGGGTCATTTTTGCTATCACCAGCCACATTGCCACGACGAACATCTTTGACAGATACGTTCTTGACATTGAAGCCCACATTGTCCCCAGGAAGAGCCTCACTCAAAGCTTCATGGTGCATTTCAACAGACTTTACTTCAGTTGTAACGTTGACTGGAGCAAAAGTGACCACCATGCCAGGCTTGAGAACACCAGTCTCCACTCGACCCACAGGGACCGTACCAATACCACCAATTTTGTAGACATCCTGGAGGGGCAGACGCAAGGGCTTGTCAGTTGGACGAGTTGGTGGCAGAATGCAATCCAGAGCTTCAAGCAGTGTGGTTCCACTGGCATTGCCATCTTTACGGGTGACTTTCCATCCCTTGAACCAAGGCATGTTAGCACTTGGCTCCAGCATGTTGTCACCATTCCAACCAGAAATTGGCACAAATGCTACTGTGTCAGGGTTGTAGCCAATTTTCTTAATGTAGGTGCTGACTTCCTTAACGATTTCCTCGTATCTCTTCTGGCTGTAGGGTGGCTCAGTGGAATCCATTTTGTTAACACCAACAATAAGCTGTTTTACACCCAGTGTATAAGCCAGAAGGGCATGCTCACGGGTCTGCCCATTCTTGGAGATACCTGCTTCAAATTCGCCAACACCAGCAGCAACGATCAGGACAGCACAGTCAGCCTGAGATGTGCCTGTAATCATATTTTTGATAAAGTCTCTGTGTCCTGGGGCATCAATGATGGTCACATAGTACTTGCTGGTCTCGAATTTCCACAGGGAGATATCAATGGTGATACCACGTTCACGTTCGGCTTTCAGTTTATCCAAGACCCAGCATACTTGAAGGAGCCCTTTCCCATCTCAGCAGCCTCCTTCTCAAATTTTTCAATAGTTCTTTTGTCGATCCCACCACATTTGTAGATCAGATGGCCAGTAGTGGTAGACTTGCCCGAATCTACGTGTCCAATGACGACGATGTTGATATGAGTCTTTTCCTTTCCCATTTTGGATTAGGTTTAGCGGTGGTTTTCACGACACCTGTGTTCTGGCAGCAAACCCGCTGCAAAAAAAAAAAGTAAAACAATGTGTTTCAAATCGGCATGCAAGTTACTGTATAAAGCTCAGATATATTCTTTCCAAGTCCAAGTTGCTCATATATGTGAAGGGCACCTATGACCTAGATGTGGTGCAACTGTTAATGATGGTTTTTAATCTTGTAAGTTTTGATTCATGTCCTGTGCATTGTAGATAATATGACAATTCCAAAAAATTAAGCTGTAAAGAAAAATGCCCTGTTACTACATAGAAAATCATTTGATAGAATTAAACAAGTCACTCAACCATGCCACATAAATTTATAGCCATTATATGCGGAGAAATAGAGTTAGCACTGACATTAAATGTACCATTTGATTCCTTTATTATGAATTTCATGTTCTGCTCAAATTCTTTAACTACTACCATATGGTTTTCATTATGTTTGTTGCCATTTATTATGCCCGGTAAGTTGAAAACTTTATTATATATCGATTTACTGTTGTGAATGCCTGAAATCCCTGGTGCACTCAACACCATCATTGATCAGATATCAATTGTTTTTTACTCTCAGACCATAGAACATATTAAATTGATTCTGGATATATCTGGTACATGCTAAAGGGCCTGACCCCAATTTTTTTGTTTAAAGGCCTTTTAGCTTCAGTTTTAAGAGCAATTTCATTTCTTAACAATATTGCAGTGCTCTTGACTAGGAATCTCACTTTGTCATTTATTTGGCTGGAAAGCAGTACTAAAACAGGGTTTCAGATAATTTGCAGAGGTTTTGTGGCTGCTGTTCTTGATTTAATCAATGTCAATGAAAATGACTTAAGAGACGTCTTATTTGGAAAATGAGTTATTGTTCAGGTGGTCATAAATTAAAGTGATTTTAAAAATATTCCAGTTAAAAGGAATTAATTCTTGTGTCCCATCCTAGATTCTGTTACATGTAATTTTAATATGCCTGTATATTTGGGGATAAGCACCATATAAAGAATGATAAAATGCAGCTGAATTTACATGATAATTTAATAATATTTTTTCTATATTTAAAGTTTGCTTTGAGATACCTAAACAATTATCTGCTACACAATTGAAAATAAAATGCACTATTCTAAGCTCAGAAAATCTGAAATAATAAATATTAAAAAATCTAATCATTATGAGGTATAGAACATAAAATTGACTACATAAATAATTTAATATTAAGTAGTTTCTGAAACATGAGTTTGGTGAATCTGAGTGTTAAGATTTTCCTAAAAATTATTTTCTATTAAGTAACATTTTAGCTTGTATATGAATAAAACAGGCAGAAATAAAAAACTTTTATGCAAGAAAAGATTTATTTCTCATGCTGTGTATAAATTTTTGAAAAGAATTTTGTTGGTCTAAATTCTGAAGTTTAGCAGACCTGGTTTTGACCAAGTTTTACCTACTGAATTTACTACCTACTGAATTTACTATTGAGGAATATTACTTTCCTCATCTGAACTGAAGTTAAATGAGGTTATAGGGATATGAGTATATGAAAAGTTCCTGGTATGAGTGGGGGAGAGGCAGAGAGAGAAGGAGAGAGAATCCTCAAGCAGGCCCCATGCTGAGCCCTGTGTGGCTTTCGGACCCATGACCTGTGAAATCATGACCTGGACTGAAACCAAGAGTCAGATGCCTAACTAACTAAGCCACCCAGGTGCCCCTAAGGTTTTCTTACTTAGAAATGATAAGCCAGGAATTGCTACATGCTATTTTGAATAATAAATTTAATTCCTTTTACATACTAATTTTTTTTTTCTTGTGGTTTTCAGTTGCTTTTAGACCAGTGCTTTTCAAACCCTTTTAATGTGCATATGAATCACTTGGAGATATTATAAAATCCAGTTTCTGAGTCAGAAGGTCTGGGGTGGGGACTGGGATTTTGACTTTCTAAAAGTTTACTGGTGATGTCAAAGCTATTGGACCGTAGTGTGTGTGTGTGTGTGTGTGTGTGTGTGTGTGTGTACTTAGAGTAGCAAGGTGATAGGGCGTAGATGCTACAAAGTACATCCTCCTGCTTTTTCCTACATATCCTTGCATAGAGCTCTAAATGTACAGTCTCAAAACCATTTGTTTTTAGTATTACAGTCCTTTTAATCTTGTGTTTTCTTCAATATATTGTAGGCTTCATGTATGTCTTCTTTTACTCATTGCTGAGTTCTCAGAACTGAGTGCCTGGAACTTAGCAATGAATGTTAATCTGCTAAGTGTTGGTGAACTACATGCCATAAGTGAAGTCCGTGGCTGAATAAACAAAAGGAGGTCACAGATTGAAAGCATCTGCATAATAGCTGTGTTGTAAAATAGTTTTGACAAATGAACTAATCCTCCACACTCATAGGCTTAGTTTAATTTCCTTCTCCAGAAATGTATGTATATTTAGTGGGTCTAGTGGGCATGGTCAAAATTGCTGTTTTAAAAGCCTGTTGTGTCACTCTGGTAATTAGACAGAACATAAGTAAATTTATGACCTTGTAAGTTTATTTTTCTTTGAGTCTAGAAGCCGCATTTGCCAAGAATAACTGAAAACAAAGTCAAATGAGGGCTACGTCACTAAATTTCTCTAGGGCCAAGATGCTGCCCTTAGTTGAGTTTTGAAAAAGTTTAATACTGTATTGTATACTGGAAATTTGCTAACAGAGTAGATCTTAAGTGTCCTCACCACACCAAAAAAAAAAAAAAAATTAACTATATGAAGCAATGGATGTATGAAATAACTGGGTTGTCATAATCATCTTACAATATAAACCTATATCAAACCATCACAATTTACACTTTAAATATATACAATATTTATTTGTCAATCATACCTCAATAACACTGGAAAATAAAGAGGTAGAAATAGCTGCAAAAGAAGATGCCTGCATGAGTTGACCCAGACATTGTTAGGCATTTTGTAATGATGTGTTGTGAAAGAATACAGGTGGACACTTTTTACCCTGCTAACTCTATTGTTAAACCTGTAAATTTCTCATAGGATTAAGTTCAGTGCATTTACTGAGTGACATTACATTCAAAGTCACCCTTGTGGTCATTTATGATCCTTTTAGGGTCAGGTGAAGGCAGCATTTCAACACATGGAAAAGTTTACTTTAACATAATCATATTTTTTTAAAGGAACTCAATATCTTCACTTCGGTTTTCTTAGTCCTCACTGTGGCATCCCATCAGAATGAAGTGAGTCCCCTCTTCTAAATATATATTCAGGGTTTTTTAAAGGTTTTATTTATTTATTTTGAGAGACAGAGAGAGAGAGTGCACATGCGTGTATGAGCAGAGCCCCAATGCAGGGCTCAAACTCATGAGCCGTAAAATCATGACCTGAGTTGAAATCAAGAGACAGACATTTAACTAAATGAACCACTAAGGCACCCTAGTACATCTTCAGTTTTTATAGAAATACTGTGATGAGAAGTTAGATATATAAACATGTTCATGCATTAATTAACAAGCTGTCAGCATAGAGCCCAGTGTGGGACTGGAACTCACTAACTATGAGATCATGACCTGAGCCAAAATCAAGAGTCAGATGCTCAATCAACTTAGCCGTCCAAGCACCCCCAATTATAATTTTATTTTATTTTTTATTTATATATATATACTTATTTATTTTAAAACACTTTAATGTTTATTTTTGAGAGAGACAGAGCACAAATTGGGGAGGGGCAGAGAGAGAGAGAGGGAGACAGAATCCGAAGCAGGTTCCAGGCTCTGAACTGTCAACACAGAGCCTGATGCAGGGCTGGAACCCATGAACCATGAGATCATGACCTGAGCCAAAGTTGGATGCTTAACTGGCTGAGCCACCCAGGTGCCCCAATTATCATTTTATATGTAGGTATAAAGTGTATATTCATTTTACTTGAAAATATCATATACAGTATTCATGTGAGCTGTAACATTAGCCTATCAAATCTACTTAAATCTCATGTTCTTAGTAGGTCTTTACAGGCAATAGCGAATTAATGAGGACTGGGGTAGTGCTCATTTGTGTCTCTTGGAGTTTTCTTTTTGTGAGAGCTTTCGGAAAAGGTTAATTATGCATGGACAGACGTGCATAGAAAGACAGAAACTTCATATTGTTCTATCAGACCCCTGTGTTGAACTCTTTCTTGTTCTCACCATCTGTGGGGCAGCTGGCCACTTTTCCAACATTAGTTCATGCTGCGGAAACAGGGTATGTGACTCTGGTCAGCTTCAGGTAAGCACGTTTCACCACATTCAGCACTTCTTGCCCTATGCCACTTGGGATTAATCTTTGAACCAAGGAGTGTGGAACACGAGATAAACATAATCAGAATCATAATGGTACTTTTTCAGTAAAATCTCACATATTGCAAATAATAATGTGGCATAGACAGTGACAGGAAAATATAAAGAAACAAAATAGAAATTTGAGTAGATATTTATTAAATTCCCTGTCATGACCATGATGAAACACATTATAGTAGTTTATAAATTTGCTTATAAGATAAAAATAGAAATATTCTTAAATTGTATATGTAAAAAATTTCAATTTGTTTATTTGATAATTACATTTTAATACATTATAATTATAATTTGTAATTATATATAATGTGTATATATACACACACATACTTTCATATAAATTTATTAATAAAATTTTAAGAAACTCCTCCTCAAGAAGTGTAAAACTCTTGAGTTTGGGAAGTTTGTTTTTCATTGTTGTTGTTGTTGTTATCATTTTTGTTGATTCCCTTCTTATCTCAGAGTCTGAACAGAATGCAAGAGTTAGGGAATTGATTGCATTTCACATATTAAAGATGATGAAACCCCAAAAACTCAGAAGTTTTTACTATTACTTTTATTGCTTTCAGATAGACAAGGAGTAAGAAAGGTTAGATATCCTTAGTTAATCTTAGGGAATTAAATCTATCTGAGTAAAACCAATTGGAAAGGATTTTTTATCTCGAGCTATGGGCCTTTGTTCTGCAATAACTATAGCCATTTAAAGTAAATTG